GTTTTCTGCGATGTCGCGGGTGCGCGCAATTTTAAAGCTTGACATGTTTGGTGTCTATTTAACCGACGTGACCTGATCTTTTATATTTGACCAAAAAACTGGGTAATAATAAATGTTTCCTAACATAATGTTACAAAAAACGTTTTTTTTTTCAAAATTTTCAATAATTTTTCCTAATTATAATAAAAAATAAAACCCGTAGTGGTGATTAAATACCACCAAAAGAACGCCCTATCTGTCCCCAAAAAATGGTATAAAATTCATTTCAGTACAGCGCTGCATGACGGAATAAACGTCAGTCAAAGTATCGCAGCGCTGAATACTGAAAAATGGCCGGGACATGAAGGGTGTCTAAACACCTGGTCTTGAAGTGGTTAAAGTTCATGTGCGTGTAAAGGCGTCCCAATACTTTTGGCAATATAGTGTATATCTATCTATATGACATCCTGCGGATTCAGAAGTAGCATAAAACTTTACTGCGTAATAATGTGAAAAATAGCTCCGATGTTTCTTAGTTACTGATTCAGCTTGTGGTGTCTGAGAGGAGATTTCCCTAACTGTGCCCCAAACTTTTAAACCTGTTGGGAAGGTGGCAACAGGAGGGGGAATATAGAGGGGGGAGGAGGTGTCTGAGAGCTAAAACTTGGCTGAAATTAGGGAAAATATCTAGGGCTGTGCGTTGTGTCTTAAAAGTATCACTAAAAATGTATAGTATATTATTTTCTTATATTGTGTATTTGCTATTGGTTTAAGCCTATACAATGAAAGTACATTTGTCTAGGTCCACCAGCAAATGTAGCAATGTATTATGATACACAATTGATCCTCAAAGCTCTATGCCCGACTTTAACCACTTCAAGACCAGGTGTTTAGACCCCCTTCCTGGCCAGGCCATTTTTCAGTATTCAGCGCTGCGGTACTTTGACTGACGTTTATTCCGTCATGCAACGCTGTACTGAAATGAATTTTATACCATTTTTTGGGGACAGATAGAGCTTTCTTTTGGTGGTATTTAATCACCACTACGGGTTTTTATTTTTTATTATAATTAGGAAAAATTACAGAAAAATGTGAAAAAAAAAGTTTTTTTTTACATTATGTTAGGAAACATTTATTATTAACCAGTTTTTTGGTAAACTATATGACAGGGTCACGTCGGGTAAATAGACACCAAACATGTCAAGCTTTAAAATTGCGCGCACCCGCGAAATCGCAGAAAACTACCATACCCAAAATTGGCCATAGGCGACACTTTAAAAGCTTTTACCACTCATCAGTTTAGTGTTATCAGTGATTGATGGCCCTAGACTTATTGCTCTCACTGCGACGTTCGTGGCGATATGTAACGGCGTAATGGGCGCAATTGTCTTTTTTGCACGTATGTGCCCCCGACGCATGTTTGCATGCGTGTATGTATGGGTGGGGACTTTCAAATTTTTTTTGGTTTTTTTATTCTTTTTTATGTGTAACTTTAAATTTTTTTGGGGGGAGGAACTTACAATTTTTTTTTTTCCCCCCCCACTAAACTTTATTGCTATCACATACGGGGGCTAATAAAACCCGCTTATGTGATAGCAAAATATGTGACAGGTCCTCTTTATGGAGACATTAGGGGTCTCCAAGACCCCTAATGTCACCTGGG